CCACCACCCCTTCAGCTCTGGGAGAAGCTAACGAGTGCAGGCTTGGCCTCAGTTCCTTCTTCGAGAATTGTGGCTTCCTCTCTCTCTGGGAGCCAGCTAGCTGTGCAGCGGGGGTTCGGTGGAAATGGGAGTGAGAGTGGGACAAAAGGATGGGCTCTTGGCAAATGGCAGGCAAAACCTTTCTAGTTCCTTTCCTTAGAGGAGAGAGGATAGTAGACAACTCTGGGTCATCCTGCTGGACCCCAGAAGTGATGTCATGTATCCTCATAGAAACGGTGGTCTGCTGGAGCACTCCCCAGACACTGAATGTCCAGTGTTACTGACCCTGAGCCTGTGTCAAACAAGGAGTGCCCTAGGCTTGGAGTTCTCAAAGTGGGGCCCAAGTAAGACCTGTACCTGTACCACCTGGGGACCTGTTACAAACTCTGACTCTCTGGCCTCCCAGGCTTCCTGGAGGTGTTAACAAACCTTTGGGGGTTGGTGAGCAAGCTCACACTTGGGAACCTCTGTGTTGATCAAGTCCTGGAAAGGACAGTTTCTCATGCACAGATCAAAAATTTACATCATTTCTCTAAAACCCCTTCTGGTTCCCAGGAATGAAGGACCAGTCTGATGGCTGTAACTCTGAAGGTTTTCCCATTGAGAAAAGGCAGTGTTTGTTGAGCACCTGTTGTTCGCACAGCCCCAAACTGGCCTCATGCCTTGCATCTCTAATCTTCCAAATCCCTTTCAAGAAGATAGCAAGCTGAATTATGGCTCCACACCCACACTTGCAAATCAAAGCCTTGCCCTCTGTAACCTCACTGTATGACTATCCTTCTAGGTGGGGTCTGTAAAGGACAGGACTTACTGGAAACAGCCATCAGTGTAAACCTTGGTTCAGCTGGACCAGTGTCCTTCATAAAAGAAGGTATTTGGACAAAGAGGCCAGCACATGAAGAAGAGAGATAACAACACAGGGAGAATCGGCCATCTGTGAGTCCAAAGTGGCATCTGGGAAACCTGCCCTATTAGGCCCTAGATTGCGCACAAGCCTGTAGGAGTCTCTGGCCTCTAGCCTGCTCAAGGCCCCAGACGCTGGGATTTGCTGCATCAGCCTTAGTAAATGCATACAGTGGATAGCAAAATAGCCACACCTCAAGCAATTACCTGTTGAAAAGTAACACTACTGTGGAAGTCCCATTAATAGCCCAAAATCTGGGTGTAGTGGTGTGTATCTGGACCCAAGAGGCTGAGGCAGGAAGATTGGGTATTCAATGCCTGGCTCAAAAGGAGAAAGAGCCCCCACTTCCACTTGAGGTATTGGGGTGCAGGGAGAAAAGAAATGATCTGTCAAGCGTGGGTCTGTGGGTAAGCAAGTGGATAGAGTCAAGGTTTGAGTGCCAATCACCATTCTGTACAATCCCAGGTTAGCCCATGTTGAGAACTTCAAGTTCATTACTTAATGTTGGCAGGAATTTAAGAGGTGATCAAATTTACTCAGTTGATACCCCACTTTGAGGCAGCGTTTCATGAGACTATATTTTGAAATTTAAAAGAAAAAAAAATCCAGCCTATAGACTCAGTACTTTACCGTTTCTGAAAAGAAGACAAGCTCACGGCTGTAGGTGTAACGTAGTGGCAGAATACCCACCTGGCAGGTGTGAGTTCCACAGAAGGGAGGCAGGGAAGGAACCAAGACTTGGTTAAAATGAAGGGATATAGTAGATGTCCCACAGTCAGCAAGCTGAACAGAACCCAAGGCCCTTTGTCATTCCACATACTTTGTACTTTCTTTGTATGTTGTCAAAAGCCTTCTGGAGAACAAGCCTTAGATGGGAAAATCAAGCAGAAACATTGCAGCTCCACATGGCTGCTGAGGCAGGTCCTATGTGCGGTCAGGTTTCTTGCCCTTCCTATGACTCAGATACAGGATGTTTGTTCTCTCACTGGGGAAAAGCATGAAGGACCTGGGATGCTGCCCTCCAACAAGTGACTGAACCTCAGCATGCGCCAGCTTCCTGTTCTGTAAGATCCGAAGGACCATAGTGAGAGGAGTGCCTGTCTCCGGTGGGTGTGGGAGGAGCAATTCTGTTAAGTCCTGTGAAGGAAGAACCAAGAATTGTGCCTGCCTCGTGGAAAAGGCCTTTTCTGTCTCTGAGGATGTGCTTGCCTAGAGTTCAAGGAGCCGAGAGTTCAATTCCCAGCAATGAATAAACAAAGTATGGTGCCACTTGCCAGTAAATCCATGGCTCGGGAGGCAGTAGTAGCAGGATCAGGAGTTCAAGGTCACCATTGGCTACACAGAGAGTTCAAGGCCAGGCTATGCTACATGAAAGCCTGCCTTAGGACACACACACACAAACATAAACAGTCTTTTCCTGTTGTGATTATAGGAAAGACTGAAAAATGCCTCTGATCTCTGAGGAACTTCCACTTTAGTCTCAGGCTGTCCTGATCTGCACCAGTAACTATGGCTGACCTGTAGGTAACCTGTGTTCTTGTGCACACTCATCTTTAAGAGCGCTATAGTGAGAAATTGGCTTACAGATGAATCATGTGCCGACCGTTATAACTTGCTGACACAGCTTGACCATTAGAGTTCTATTAAAATAAAAACTCAAATACTCCCTAGTGCTCCTCGACATCTTTCCCACCAAGCCCCTATCATGATGTCAAGTCTCATTAATAGCAGTCATATAATTACTAATAACATTGTATTAGTCACAAAGGACTTGTTAAAACTACAGTGGCTATGAGGACATATATCTCCTAGTGTGTAGGGACATTATGGCTAATGATAACTGGGATGCAAGCCCAAGCTGCCGGTTGAGGGATGGACAGGTAGATTTCAGAGAAAGACTGGACATCCTGCCAGAAAACCGCCCATTAGAATCAATCATTCAGGGCACAACTGGCAGGAATCTGGATGTCCATCAATATAAGACTGAAAGGGCTTGGGACATGGCTTAGTTGGTAGAGCACTTGCCTAGCATGTAGGAAACTCTGGTTTCATCCCCCAGCACTACAAAAGCAGGGCATGGTGGCACATGCTTGTAATCCTAGCATTAGGCATGAGTAAGAGAAGTTCATTGTCATCTTAGAAAGTTCAAGACCAGCCCAAGCTAAACAGGATCCTCTCCATCACACCCCTCTCACATATCTATAGATAGATAGATAGATAGATAGATAGATAGATAGATAGATAGATAGATAACCATGGACCAGCCATACAAGGGAATGGAGTATATTTGTAGAGAAGATAGTAGTGTATATAGTTGGACATGCACAAAACTGTTAGATCAATGATATGGAAAAAGACAAAGTACACTCTAAACGAGTGAGCTGTATGCTTTGTGGGTTATATCTCAATAAAGCTGTTATTTTTAAAAATCATGTCATAGAAATGTGTTGTGCGCCACCATCTGTCATTTTAAAGCTGCATACATAAAACTCCAAATATGTACTTGTCATGATTATCTGGATGGATGTAAAGGGAATTAGAACCCAATCCAGAAGGGAAGGAGACTCAAAGTGAGAGCCACTTTTCACTATGGTCCATCAGTGAGTTTTGGGGTTCTGAAATCAAAGTCATGTATCAGCTAAGCCATTTATTTTGATAAGTCAGAGAAAGAGGAAAAGAGACCTAAATACTGAATTATCAATACCATGAGCCAGGCACTGTTTCTAAGTCATTACATACTTGTTTTACCTACATGAATAATAACAACAATGAGATTGTTATTGTTATTATTACTGCCATTTTACAGAGGGGAAATTAGTTCCCTCCTCCCCAAGTTCTCAAAGGCAGGTTCAGCCAAGGAAATCTACTGGAAATCACCCCCTCCCCCAAACACCATGGATTGCTGAAGTCCAGGAACCTGAGAATCCTAGTGGGATCCTGCAGTTTTCTTGGGATTTTAAAGAGTAAAAACATCTTCGTTAGTAATTTTAGAGCTGGGGTTGGCAGGTGAACTGGCGTGTATCCCTCAAGTTCTCTTGCAGTCCAGGATTGTGGCTCACAATTGCAAGAAAACACACACACACTCCATTTACCAGGCGAATGGAACACACACACACACACACACACACACACACACACACACACACCATTTACCACGCAACTCAGAGGTGTGCCCTGCGCTTCTGATGCCTCAAGTGGGTGTGTTCACTTACAGAACTGGGCAGGTAAAAGGTGCAGGCCAATCTTGCCAAGCACTCAGTTGTTTGATGAACTTGATTTCAGGAGAGCCTACAGGACAGCAAGATTGACTGCTCACCTGCCCTTTGCATTTCCCAGGCTCCAGTAAGTCCCGACAGCCCAGCCTTTGGGTCTTTCAGTCTTGACAAAAGAACCACCAGCACTTCAACAGGCAGTCACCCCAACCACAACACACACTCAGCAGGTGTCTGCAGTATTATAAAGAAAACGAAGGGCTTGGCTGGTCTTGACCTAATTTCTAGAACTGGTACTTCTGAAGGACCTACTGTGTGCTATATGAATTATGCTAAGTGCCTTGACCTCACACCTGTAAGGAAGTGTGAAGGAAATTGCCTCTGTCTCCCAATTTACTTCCCGGGAGCAGAGGGCCACCCTGGAGATCTCTATTGTCACCCACTCCCAACCTGCCCTTTCTTTCCTTCACTGCCCTGTATCCCTGCTGAGTCAAGGCTGGACTGTTCAGAAGCTACTGAGGGCTGGCACCAAGCCATAATAAAGTAAAAGGTGGTTTTCATAGCATGCAGACTGGAGAGAGGCACAGTGCTGGAGCTCACATCAACCCAAGACACACACAAGATGGTCGGAAACATGACCCCTCTTATATTCTCTTCTGTTCCCTCTTGGTCCCATTTTATTCATCCCTGCATCCACTTACTCAAAAGTATTTATCCACACCAGTGAGATGGTTAACCCAAGGATTGACATTCAATTGTTAATCCCACAGATGCAAGGAAAAAGGCCACTGACTCAAATCATGCCAAATTAAATAAAGTAAGCAATTCATTAATGAAAGCAAGCTTTTTATTCGTGTACACAGACTGTCTTTCCCTAAGGAGGGGTTCAGGAGATCAGCATTGGAAATAGGGAAGACAGGGGTTTTATATCTCAGGAGTAGGGGGTTATTTGGCAGGCAAATAGGCAGGGTTACAGCTGCAGAACATAAACATAACAAGTTAGTCCTACACAGACCCCAGAAACAAAGACATGGTTGCAAGGTGGGCATAACAAGGTGGTCACATTAACCCATTGAAACCAAGACATGGTTGCCATTTCCTGGAACAGGCAGTAACAGAACCATTTGTAGTTAAGGTTACAAGGTGGGGCATAGCCCACTCCTTGAGAAACAAGTTTAATCCTAAAAAGAATTGAACTTAGTTTGTCTTCACTATAAGATGACTTTAAGCCCAAAATGGAGACAGGTTGGTTTATCACAATCCCTGAGACTCACATAGTAGAAAGAGAGAGCTGACTCCCACAAGCTGTTCTCTGACCTCCACACTGGTACCATGGCACATGCTTGCCCCTGCCCCCCATACATAAGTAAATTGTGCTGGTTAGTTTTATTGTTGTTTTTGTTTGTTTGTTTTTGTTTTGTCATTTTGTCAAAGCTAGAGTCATCTGAATGGAGAGAACCTCAATTGAGAAAATGTCTCCATATTGGCAAGCTTGTGGGGCGTTTTCTTGGTTAATAAATGATGTGGGAGGGCCCAATCCACTGTGGGTGGTGCCACCCCTGGGCAGAATCTCTTCACTTACCTAAGAAAGTAGACTGAGCAAGCCATGAGGAACAAGCCAGTAAGCAGCACTCCTCCATGGCTTCTGCTTCAGTTCTCACCTTCAGGTTCCTGCCATAACTTCCCTAAATGATGGAATGTGACTTGAGAGTTGTAAGATGAAATAAACCATTTCTTCTCCAGTTGTTTTTGGTCCTGATTCTATTTAATTACAGCAATAGAAATCTAACTAAGACATAAATGTAATCAATGTTCTTTTAAAAAAAAAAAGAAAGAAAGAAAGAAACAAAGACCAAAACAATCTATCAAGTAGCTGTCATGTTCTATATTTTAGAAACATAGCCTTAAACAAAAGAGGCTTCCTGTCCTCTTAGGACTTTTGCCTGGTGGGGTCACTGTAAGCAAATGGAGAAATGCCTATTTCAATCATATATGTGATGAGGCTGGTTGCAGAAAATAAAATGCAGTGATATAGTGGAAAGGCCTCTCGAGCATTTATAGCAATGTTCCCATACTTGGAGGCAGGGCACCTCTGGGGCTGTCATCCAGGCCTCACAAGCTGGTCAAGTGTCTTTAGCCTCACTACACACATACAAACACACATAAGTGCCTACATGCAAACATATAGAGTTGTATCCATTTTATAGATGAGGAAACTGAGCCTCAGGTGGCCTAAGCAATTTGGCACAGTGGCAAAACAAGATTCACATGCAGTTTCTGACCTTCAGTTTTTCTCACTCTACCCTGTGGAATCCAACAGGATGGCTTGCTGTATACCTGTTTTCCTAGATGCAGGAGTAACCTTGACTGCTGGTGGGGGAGGTGGGTCCTCTAAGACATGCAAGGGCAGCAGAAACTGAAGAAATCACAAGAGCGAGGCTGCTTAACCCAAGCCCTCAGACAAGCCACATTAGATTGATGGTGTGGCTCAGCTATTCCCTGATTAGATAGTCTCCCTCCCGGTCCTCTCCCACCCTACCTCTTCTGATAAGAGCATATTGCACTATGCTTTCTGGACCTCACACTGGCCTATTGTAGGAATGCCTGGAGATGTCCTCACTTGACCTGACAGATGCCTGGAGAACTTGAAATGTGAGTGGAGACTACACAAATGTAGAATGTGGCTGGGACTATAAGCAAGGGTCTAAGGACTCCTACAGTGGTCATCATTCCTGAGCTTGCTGAGACAGGGATTTTCTTTGACTTCCACAAGGCACTTTGTTTTATAGTTTGACCAAGCCAAGAGGGGATTTTGTTGCTCGCAACCCGAACAGTATTGAATAATACATAAAGCTATAGTCTAGTGGTCAAACATGAAGACAAAGAAATCAATACATAATTACAAGCTGTGAAAAACTACCTCGACAATGCAGAAGGATGAGGTCAGAGACAAACAAGGGGACTGTGTTCAGCTTGGTGGCTGGGAAAAGAGTCTTGGGGGGGAGGAGATTCTACTTCAGATGAAACATTAAAGAGAAGGAATCAGCCTTTCGAGGAACAAGGGAAATAACGCAAAGAGTTCAGGTCATCCCAGAGACTCACAGGAAGTTTGTGGTATTGGACCATGAAGAAGGGTTATTCTGAGTTGAGTCTAGTGTGGGTTTTTCTGCTCTTTAGAGTGGTGCATGTCTCTGAGGGTGTTCCCTTGAAGATAGGCAGAGTTCTTTGGGTCATCATTTGTGTGTGTGTGTGTGTGTGTGTGTGTGTGTTGCGGGGTTGTGTTTGTGGGTTGTTGTATGTGTGTGTATACTGTGTGGTGTTGCACTTGGAGCTTGTGTGTATGTGCGTGTCTATAGATGGAAACCCATCTGGGAATGGATACCTGTATTCTCTGTATCACATGATTCTCCTGCCTACAAGTTCTGCTGGAGTAAGAACTTGTTTCTTCAGGATCAGTCTTGGTAAATTAGAGATAAACTGTCAGGGACTGGGGTAGCATTGACAGTCCAGGCATAAGTAGTGTGTATTTGATGGGTGGAGGAAGACAGAGAATGAGGAGAGGTCCCTGGGAACAATTCTTCCTGCACTCTCCCTGCCCATTCAGGTCAGTCCCACACACAGGAGTATGTATAAGTTATCTACAGCTAGGGAACAAATTGCACTAACTTGGCAGCTTCTAGCTTGTTGAGCAGGGCTAGGTTCTTTCCCAAGGAATGCAAGGCAGTCAGTGAGGCTATTTCTGGTCTGAGTGCCATGGCCTGCTACACAATATTGTTGTTGGCAGAATTTATTTCCTGTTGGCTCTAGTACTCAAGTGCCCACTTTCCTGCTAGCTGTCAGAGAAGAGCCACTCACACATAGACACTGCCTTTTCCCAGGCCAACAGGAGCACAGCTTCCTGGATCTTCCTCTGCCATCAATCAGAGAAAACCCTCTGTGTCTAAAGGGCTTTGGTTATATTTAGGAACTTTAGTGGTATCTGCAACCTTCACTTACCATGCCAAATGCCAGAACTGGGGCTAATACCAGGAAGTGGACCACAGGCTCTCTTGAAATTCTACCACCAATGGAATCATTGCTGTTTACCAATTCTGAAAGCACCTGTATGTTTCGGACTTCGGAGAAGTCATACACCTGTATGACTTCGGAGAGGGATCTAGTCTCCCTGAGTGTTCTAGTTTCATTTCCATTGTTATGCTTAAAAAAAAAATCTTGACAGAAAGCAACTTGGGGAAGAAAGGGTTACCTCAGCTCATGGTTTCAAGCTAAAGTCCTTCATGCAGGGAAATCAAGGCAGGAGCTTGAAGCATCTACATCACAGTTAAGAGCAGAGAGAATAGACATTTCCAGTGCTCACTCACTTTCTCCACTTGTACACAGTCCAAGACCCAAACATGGGGATGCTATAGGCAGCAGGCAAGGTTTCCACATCAATTAACATAATAGGGCAATGCCCTACAGACATGCCCACAATGCACACCTCATCTACACAGTTCCTCCAGAGTCTTCAGGGAAGATTCTAGATTGCGACTAGTTGACATTAAAGCCAGTCATCACACTGACCATGCAAGCAGAGGAAGCCTTCCTTCTCTCCTTAGCTCTCCAGTTCTGTTAACCCGTTTCCTTCCTGCCACTGCAAGTGGCTACAAGCTTAGTGAGCTGAGGATCACAGACCTTTACCCTCTCTGTTCTCGATGCTCAGAATGAAGCCCAGGAGCCATAGGCCCCATCTCTGAAAGGCTCTGGGGGTTCGGGCCTCTCTGGGTTTCTAGTGGCCGGGGGAGTGGGGATGGCATTCCTTGGCTGTGGCTGCACAGCTTCATTTTATGCCTCTGCCTTCCCATCACTTTCTCCTTGGTCTGTGTCAGCCACTCCCTCTCAAACTGGTGTGGGGATGACTTTGAGTGCATCAAGGTCCATCTTGATCTGGGACAAGTTCCCCTTCCATTCCTCAACTTGATCACACCCTTTGCCATATAATGTAGTATTCAATTTTTGGTCTGGGAATTATCAGGACAAGACTGTGTGGGGCCATGTTTCAAACACCATTTAAGTCCATGACCTAAATGCCAGGCATTCAGTTAGCAGATCACAGGTGATAGCCTTCCCCTGGATACGGAAGGGACTTTGTTCCTCTCTTTGTGTGCAAGAGTTAAAAGAACGGTCTGATAACAGCTGTGGTGTCTGTACCCACTTCTGCGGTTACCTGAGCTCTTTGGCAATTCCCCAAACATCAGCCAGTTTTTACCCCCTGTCCTGGGGACAGCCGTGGGAGCCTCTTCCTTGACGTCTACAGACAGGCTGTGAATTTGAGGAGCCATCAGGTAAACCATGTGAAGTCTTTGCTGAGTTCCCAGGAGAGTTGAGGCCGTCGCTTGTGCTTTTGAGGTTCTTTTTGAAATGCCAAAGCTTGATCTTCTTATAGCTCTTCTCCTGGCTTCCCTTTCTCTTCCTTTCTTGTTTCCTTCACTCCTTCCTTCTTCCCTTCCTTCCTTCATAAAAGGAAGTTTTAAAACAGTTTTAAAACTGTTCATTTTTTCTGTTTGCTATTTTTTGTTTTGTGAACAGGTTCTCACTCTATAGCCTATCTGAAATTCTTCCTTTTTTTCTTAGACAGGGTTTCTCTGTGGCTTTGGAGGCTGTCCTGGAACTAGCTCTTGTAGACCAGGATGGTCTCGAACTCACAGAGATCCACCTGCCTCTGCCTCCTGAGTGCTGGGACTAAAGGCATGTGCCACCACCACCAGGCTCCATCTGGAATTTGTAATCTTCCTGCCTCAGCTTCCTGTGTGCTGTTCCAGGATTACATACATGTACCAATATACCTGGTTTAAAAGTTAGTTCATTATTATTAATATTAAGTATTATACGAAGTAATGGGTTTCATTATAGTATTTTCATATGTGTATGTCATTTTAGTTGTTATAATTTGCCCCTTTCCCCGATTGCTTTACCCCATACTCCCTGCCTCCTTCCCCCTTTCCCCTTTTTTTATGTCTTAATTTAATTTTACTTGTATAGATGTTTTCTCTATATGAATGGCTGTGAACCATGTGCATACAGTGCCCAAGGAGGCCAGAAGAGAGCATGGGCCCCAGAACTAGACTTACTGATGGTTATAAGCTGCCAAATAGGAGTTGGGAATCAAACCTGGGTGCTCTGCAAAATCAAGTGCTCTTGACCAGCCCCTTACCTTCTTTAGGAGTAAAAAGGAAAAAAAATTACATGTGAGGGACTGGAGAGATGGCTCGGAGGTTAAAAGTGCATACTATTCTGCAGAGAAATAGAGTTTAATCTCCAACATTCACACAGGATGGCTTACAACACTGGAAACTCCAGCCTCAGGGTAGCCCGTGCTTCTGGCTTCTGCAGACACCTGCACTCAGGTCCACATAGCCTCTCCCCCTTCCACGCCCCCACATACATATAATTAAAAATAACTAGAGCCAGGCGGTGGTGGCGCACGCCTTTAATCCCAGCACTCAGGAGGCAGAGGCAGGCTGATCTCTGAGTTTGAGGCCAGCCTGATCTAAAGAGTGAGTTCCACGACAGCCAGGGCTACACAGAGAAACCCTGTCTCAAAAAAAAAAAAATTAAAATACATATATTTTTAGAAGTTGACCTGAAAATAGGAGTCCCTTGAGATTGGGATAAGGGAAGGGTAGAAGAGGTCTACCCTTCTTAGCCAGTGCAGGTCAATGTATGTATGGAAATAGCACTCAGAATCCTGGCACATGTACAATTAACAATGCTAATGAAAATTACCTAAGTGAAAAGAATTCAAAAGCCTAAGATACAGCTGATGTTGTGTCGTCTTATTTCATTTCACAGCATGTGACTTGTGAGTACCCTTAAAATGTGAGGACTGGTGAGATGGCGCAGCAGGGTAAGGGGGCTTGCCTCCAAGTCTGATGGGTCTGAGTTCAATCCCCAGAACCCACAGAGCAGAAGAAGAGCACCAACTTCTACGGGTGTCCTCACACCTTCACA